GAGTTATTTTGCAGATAAAAAGATGCAAGTGAATCCAGAACAAACTGAAGAGTTAATATCAAGCAGAATATTTTTTGCATAAAATAAATAGGATTTGCAGATCACTGTTTGAAAAGCATTAATTACAAGTCTTACCAGGACTTCATTTTAGATTTCATGAAAGTAATGAGTGTACCTCTCTTGCAACTAATTATATATTCTGATTATCCTCTTTCATTCTGTTTGCAGGTGGCAGGGAAGTATGCCTACCTTCTCTTCCTTAAGATTTTATTTCGTATTACTTTACTGACTGACATACATAAAACTGTTTTAATTATATTTTTGTACTTAATCCTACTTGAAGCATGATTCAGACATTTTTTAATTATTAAGTGATAATTTTTCCTTTCAGTATACTATTAGAATTTTGGCTCTGGCTCAGATGTCACTGCACTACTATACACAATTCAAAGAACTATATTGGTCCTTTGATTCATTTGAACAGCCATAGAAACTCTGTATTCATATGAACTTTATTTCAGAATCCTGAATATTTACAAATACAGATTAAAAAAAAATCACTAAGTTAGTACTTGTGGTGAAAATACCACAGAAACAGTGTATTTTGAATCATGGTATATTTTGAGTGAAATCATATGTTTAGGAATCATAGCTTAAAAATTTGGATCAAGTAAGGAAAATTCATGCCAATTTCTCATGGTTATTATAATGGCACAGCAAGCTTTTCAGATGGGAGATAGTCCCAGAAGTCTCACTAAATCCACAACTAATGCTGCAGATGAGTTGCACTGAGCCTGTTACTTCAGTTAGGAAAGGGATATTTTAGCTGATTTAAAAAGATGCATACACACCTCTGAAGCAGTTTGTGTCGATAAGAACCTGGTAGGGAAGTTCTTGAAGCTGGATCATTAATTTCATCTCCCCATAAATGCAGACATATTTTCAATGTTTTGTCTAGTCTTATTTTAGTGAATCATTTGATGCATTATGCATCAATTACTTTGGTAATATTTTACATTCCACAATCAACATTGACACCTTTTCCTTGCATTGCTTAACTCTTCCTCACCGTTATCTTTAGTTCAACACCAGTAGAACCTAAGCAGATGCTTTTTGTTCAGAATGCAGATCTTTAGCAATTTGTAGATTCTGGTTTAGTAGCATTCTGAATCCTGACAGATCAAGGTACCTGCTCCTTGCTTCCCCCTTCAGCCTCTTGTGATCCATGATTATTCTCATGGCTGCAGTGACAGTCTGATTTCAGGTGACCCATTGGCTGCCCAGATACAAAAAAACCACTTCTTCAGAGGTAGCAGAACAGGTACACAGTAATGAAATTCTCTGCCACAGGCATCGACTCAAGTGCCTGTTGTTGTGGGAGCCTATCTTTCCTTCAGAGATGTCTCTATCCCCAGGTGAGACTCAGGCCTTCCAGAGGCTTTTCCAGAGCTCTCCACTCCCATCTGAACAGACACGATGGTGGGACAGGTTATCTTTCTGACTTGTTAATCTGTATCAGTAACCTCTACTTATCTCAAGAGAAGGTCTTGACATGGCAACCCTCACCTCCTTGCACAGAAGTCCCGTGCACATAGTGGTTCCTGAGCTCCACAGTAACCTTACCTTTTCCACGCCCTCCATCCTATTCCCACATGCCACTCTGATCTTTCTGGAGAGTCTTTTCTTTAACATCTTTCCCAGAGCTTTATTTTCTTTCCCAATACAGTCCCACAGTTCAGAGCTGGGCAAAATCTTTCCTTTCAAGATTTCTCACAACTGTAACTCTGATTCTGAGAGTGATCCCTGAATTCCCAGAATGAAGGGGAGTCATATATTGGAAGAGTTTAGAAGGGAAAAATAGTCCTACTACAATCTTCAAACACGTCTTCACATCTTTGGACAAGTTAAAAACATTTTTGTATACTTGAATTTGATTCCTCCTGATGTGTAATCATCTACAACTGCTCTTTCCTAAATTTCTTCTCTGCTAATGTTTCTTAAAATGTCCAAACCAAAAAAGAACAATCCAGATGCTGTCTAAGTACCTGTTTCATGTTGATTGAATTTTAAGTGTCATCCAAGAGACATCACCATTTCCTAATGAATTTTAGAAATCCTTGTATTGCCATCTGAATATGGCAAAGGAGGTAGTGTGCAAAGGCAATTATATCAGTGAATATTAACTGTGTAAAGACAGGGGTGGAATATTTTGAATTACTTGTTGAAGGGAAGCATAGAAATATAGAACTGGCTTTGAGAAATGTCTGACCAGTCCAATCTATAGAAATCTTTTTCCTGTTTTATTGCTAGCAAGTATCAGAGTTTGAAGTCAACAGCATCAGCTACATGCAGCTACATACAGCTTCATCTGAAAGTACAAGTGGACTCAAGTGGAATCTACAGAATCATTGGGTTGGAAAGTCATCTGATCCACCCCCTCTGCAATGAGCAGGGTGTAATCTCAGTGTGTACTCAAATGAACACATTCATAGCTCCTGCTTTTGGCAGACTTAAGCACATATTCTGAAGAAGATGGCAAAGAACTTACTGGTCTTCAGAAATTACAGTGTGGAAGACACTTTTGCATTGGGCAAAAGGCATAACAAACTTGCTCCCAAAACACTCATGTGTGCCAAAATGAGCCACCCAAATATACTAATTTTTTCCAAATATACCAGCTGTTCTAGTACATCTGTATGCTTTATCTGCATCCCTTTAATGACTTCTTGTAACACAATTTCTCTCTAAATTAAGCTCAAAGCAATACTTGAGTTATACTACTTTCAGAGGTTCATATACTTACTTCATAGTACTCAATTTTTTCATAGCATATTATTTGACCAAGGGGAGATTTTCCTTTTTATTCTTGCATTACACCACAGATAACAGGTTTACTAGAAAAAAATTTCTGAAGTCTATGGTATGACCTTTATTAGACAAATTACTCTCCGTAAATTCAAATCACTGGAAAAAATCAAAATTAAACTGTGAAACAGCATTTAAATAAACACCATGGAGAAATTTACCACAGAAAAGAATAATTTTGATTATAATGATTTTGTAAATTGCATAAAATTCTTGCCTCACTCCCCTGGGAATCTTTTCTACAAGGAAACAATTACACAAACAGGGGGCAGACAAGGTTTTCAACAAAGTTTAGAATTAACAGAGGCAATCGGGCAATTTACTGGTGTGTGTTTAAGGCCTTATTGAAATCCAGACAGTTGTTCTAATCTGAAATTACTTACTTGAGTTAGGGTACTTCAGTCCTGTGTCTAGCACACCTCTGAATACCGCACCCAGAGAACATAATGGAGGAAGGTACCAGTGCTCTGAAGTGACAGGTATCACTTCAGGGGGAAGTTATATTGATTCATCACATCTTGGAAAGATGCAGAGACCATCAATGCTTACATTGAAGCCAGCAGTTTGCATTTAACCTCTTGTTTAATTTTCCAGAGTCTAACAGAAGAGCAGAAACATTTTTCTTACTTCCAGATTACTGAATCTATTCCTACACTGTGGTGACTTGGAACATGATTGGGATGCCCACCCAGCACACTCTGGGTATTATATGTGAAGCCTGCTTGCATTGGCTTCTCATTTTAATTACTTTTAGGAGAGGTAAAGAGAAGTAAAGAGGTAATTTGCCGTGATCCTTTATTTAAGGGAAAATATAAAAGCTTATTTCCTTATTAGGTAATTATTATTACTTTACATTACTCTTATCTGGACTCCACAAAATCAATTTTTTTTCTCTGAAAATGCCTTTTCAATTAATCTTTGAGTAATTAGCAGCTTTTTCTTAAGCTGTTTGAGCACCTGGGAAGCTAGTGGGAGACAAATATTTTTGTAAAGATGCCTTCTTTTCTTCTGACAATTTCTTATTTACTGCAGCTTGGTTGGAAATCTGCAAACCAACCCTCAGGTGAGTAATTTCAAAGGAGAAACTGGTATTTCACTGTAATTGGTGAGGCAATAAATTATCACTCATGACATGAGCAGTTTAGGCTTCTGTCACAAAATTTGGCTTTTGTTTGTTCATCTAACAGGCTACATTATTTATGCTGAGGACAACAGATTGCATGGGATCGCTATAGGTTCTTCTCTTTTCATCCATGTCATCAAATGATGGCAATGAACAGAAAGATGTTAAGTCAGTCATGCTTTATCTGCACACAATATATGTCAGCCACTGCAGCTGCATCATATGCTGAGAACACATGCACTGTGAGTTTTGGACAGTACAGAAATCAGACTTTTGTCTGGGGCAAAAAAATATACATACTGTAGATCCAGTGCAGGTGGAATCTGCAGCCAGTTATAAAGGCTGTTTGGATGACATTGAGTTGTTGAGACTATTTAGTTATAATTTAAATGAAACTCAGATGTGTTCTGGTGCATCAAATTTGTATGATGAAGACATATTTTAAAATCATGTAGCCGTACATAGCACAAAGACCCATTTGTTGGTATCTCTGAACACAGTTTGTCCACCCTTCCCCACAAAAACAAAACCAAAAACAAAACAACAAAAAAAAAATTGGTTCTGGCAATTCAGTAGCAAAGGGCCTCAGAAATCAAGCAGGAATTGATGATTAACCTTGCAATTATGAGACTTGGAAATTAGGACTAACAATGGTGTTGTAGAAACAATCCAATTCATGAGACATCTATTCTAAAAATATGAAAGTATCATTCTCCTGGAAAACTGATATTTATCCTGTAGAGCTTAAGCTCTGCAAAGGAAATTATTCTGACTACTTCTTCACCATGATTGATTTCTGCAGGCAAAACACAGTGGAGAAGCTACAGGAACAATTTTTTAAAGTGAAGAACACTGGTTGTTCAAGCATGGGAAAGTAATTGAAGGTAATGAAGGCTCTAGAACACATAAAAATAACGCAAACCAATATAGCTGAGAGCAAAAAGAAATCTACTGGATCATAAACAACAATCAGTACTCAAAGGTATATGGGATATTAACGCATTTTATTCAGAGTGTTTGAAAGGAAAGAAATTCCTCCAGCCTTACTTGTGTGCAAGAGAATTATTTTTTAGTTTCCAGAATATGCAAAGATGAATTAGTCTGGAATTGTGACTTCAGTGTCTTTATGAGGAACCATTGTAATCAGAGAGGCTTTGAGGATAAAAATGTCTTGAAGACTCCATATAATACAATAGGAATTCTTCATGGGTTCTGGAAGGAGGCTGGGTTTATTCTGAAGGTAATTATTTGCACAGACTGGACCATGGCTGTGACAAACTGCTGCAGGTCCCACCAGCTTCCCAGAAAACTCATCACATCTGGAGAGATGCTTCTTGAGGAGAGAGCTCTGTTGGCACAAATGTGAGGAGGCATTATTGTATGTCAGAAAGCTCTTGAACATTAAGTAGAAACATCTGTAAAGCTCATAACTGAGTATCTGAAGAAGGAAACACAACCATGTGTTTTAAATTTGTCTCAGAGGTAGCAGGACTCCAAGGATAAATGCTTATCCAGAAAAAGCACATTTTCTGTCACTGCATCTGTCTTCTGGGAGGTGTGTAATCTATTCACTTAATGCTCTGCACTTGAACAGTTTGACATGGAGTGCAAGTGTCAGAAAACACTTGTGTGTCCCCCATGTCAGCTTCAAGTATCCTGCAATGCTTACTGAGATAATAGATGTAGTTAAAGAACAGTCCTGAGAAAGGAATAAGCGGCACTTATGTCAAGTTTCCTTTTTGTTTTATAAGAAACCATCCTCAATTTAGAAAATAAACTATGATTATTTAACTCTTCTGTCTTCAGATCCTTACTCTTCTCATGTCTTTTTTCATTTGCTTGAAAGTACAGTTTCTTTTTCAGTAACATCTGAATAATGTTCATAAGGAAAACATTCCTACCTAGATGTAGGTGTTGGGAAAATTACATACATGCAAAATGTAATCTATGGAGATTTTAGAGGTATTTCATATATTAATCAAATTACATTATATATAGTCAAAACTGTTGAAAACACTATATTCTGAGAAGGACATGCACCACAAACAAAAAAAACCTTCAAATAAGATGAATCTGATGTATCATTTGACCAACAGTACATCAAGAAATATTCACAAACATTGCTTCCTTTGTTAGCAAATCTTACCAGCAATTTGACTGGAATAAAACTATTTTATATACAAGCAAGCAAGATTAAAAGATAATCTAAATTACCTTTGTCAAATTCACCACTGAATTTCAGAGAACTTGTAACCAAACTAGACCAACTAATCCTTAGATACAGGTCTGAAGATATACTTTAGATGTGTTGGGTGCAATTTTTAAAAAAGTCATATAATATTGCAGTATATTACACAGACTGGTTCTTTTTATCTTGCTCAAATCACCATTTCACTATATTTGATCTTGAGGTAAACCAATGGGAAGTAATCAGTCATTGACCTGTTTGATTTAATTATATTCTGCTGTGGTCTCTGAGGTTATTACTAGTTTTCTTACTTTTTTACTGAATAACTTTATTGACTAGCATGGTATAGCCCTAAAAGCCATTGAAAAAACAACACTGGAAATACTCTTTATGGAGACAGAACACCAGAGGATTTGCAGAAATCTGCCTACATTTCTTCACACCAATTTTGGAACATCCTGTCACTCAACACAGGGAGGTTTATCAGATTTAAACAGAATGAGTTAACAATATCTGCTCAGAAGTTATTACCTTTAAAACATACCCTACTGTTTAATATGCTGCAGTCTTCATACATGTCTTTATTTCTAATGCAGATTGATAAAAATTCTTCCTTGGCACATTAAAATTTAGTAAACTTTAATATTGGCAGAGTTCAAAGGAGAACACTGATATGATTCTGCCAGCACTTGGTTTTGAAGCACTGAGCTTTCCAAGAAGTTACAGAAATAACTCATTGCCAATGCCCTCCCAAAGTAATTTTGCAGTCAGCAATAAAAAACCTGAAATTCCCACCTACCATTAAAGCATGACATTAGCCATAAACCATATGCAAGCAACTTTTGAAAATTAGATATTTTTAAAGAAATTCATGCAATTATAGACTTTTGCCAAAAACAGAGCACACAAACCTGGAAGAATGCATAGTGAATTGCAAACATAAAAGATCACAATCCAATTATCCATGTTAATGTAATGGTCTCAAGGGTTGCTGGAAACAAAAGCAAGTATGGAAAATGGATATCTAAGGATTGTCCAAGATAGAGGAAGTAGCAGATTAAGGAAAAGGATCAGAAGAAGGCTCTGTGATATCAGTATTTTTCTAGTTTGCCCATTGAAATGCATTTCTTCAGTCTAACAATGTTGCACAGATGTAGCAGGCCCAGGGCCTGCAAGGCCTCCTTGGAGTCAGAAGCCTGAGCTAGGAAATCCCAAGTCACGATGCCGGGGCCTTAGAAGCCCCTCTCTTCCGCCTTTCGGACCCTGCTTATCTCTCTGTAAGCCTATAGGTCACTCTCCCCTTACTACTGGACAATTTCCAAAACCCCTGTAAGGTATATAAACCCCTACTTCTGCCTGGTTTGGCAGAAGAGCTGTCACTGAGAACCTTCATGGACCAGTAAAGCATTCTTCGGAACCTCACAAAGCTTTATCCTCTCTCTCCCTGCATCTGCTGTGGCACCAGCAAGCTAAAGAGCTGAAATCACTTAGAGTTGATAATCACTAAGAGCTGAAATCACTTAAGCTTGTTTAGGTTGCCTGCAGCTGGGAGCTGTTTGGGAATTTGGCTGCTGTGCTGAGCCCCACTGAGCTAGGCCAAGGCAGCCCACCGGGCACAGCCCGGCTGGAAACTGCCTCTCCATAGCACAGGAGTAAAAGGTGGTAAAGGAGATTACCATACAAGAACATATGGTATTTGCCAAGTATGCTGTTCTAACCTCTGTAGTATGAGAGCCACAAGAAGAGAGAAAGCACAGAAAAGCACCAAATAACAGTTATGTCCTTCCTAGACAGGATATTAAAGTGGAACTCTTTTTAGCCTGAGCAAGCACACAAAGAGCCATTAACCTGCTTTTTCAAGTCTTCACTGTCAAAAGTGCTGGGAGACAACACAATGGACAGGCGGTTCCATTCAGGTTGACAGCAGCTCATCACGCTTTGCTAGATTACATTTCTTTTCTTAACAGCAGTGGAATTAGCCAGAAGCCTGCACAGCTGCCATACCTAGCATGGTATGATCCCCATTCCATGAGTGGAAAAAGCCTACTTGAAAGTGTATTAAGAATGCTCAAGAGTAGTGCCTGAACACCTGTTCCTTCTATTGACTTTTATAACCTTACGGTTTCTCACCATCTAAGAACAGGTAATTATGATGCTTTATTATGGATTCAGAAGTCTGAGCTTCACTTTCAGTGATTTTTTTTTTCCTACCCACTGTGTATACTATAATTACTTTGAAGTGACAACATATTCCAGAATGACTAAAACATATTATAGATGTGCCCACATATGTATTGACACATATATACAACACTTCAGCATTTTGCCTTCCTGTACATGATCATGAAGTGGCATTTAAATGAATTCTGGCCCTTCAGTCGAAGACTGTTCTGGAGTTTTAGCTCTGTTTTTGTTTGCTCCCCCTCCGAAGTATCCCACTTTGTGGGTGGTCTTAATTTAAGGTAATAGATTTTTTTTTTTTGTCTTAACTAAACCTTTTGAAATTAGTTGAGAGGGGAGGAAGTATGTTACTGCAAAATGGATGAAAATACACAGTTGTTTTCTATCTGTGAAGCTCAGTTATATTTGAATCTGCTGTTATGTGCCTGAGTCAAAATAGGTATTTTACACTGTTTGACTTTAATAATATGATTTTGGGGCCTAGTCTTCTGCTTCCCTCTGAGAAGGAAATGAACAAGTTCCTGTGGACAGATGTAGCAGGTACTTTGTGAACTTCAAAAGCTAGCAGTTCTGCAGGACCCCTTAGTCGCACCACTACCACTGCAATCATAAAGTGATGTTGATAAGGTGAAGAAGGTTGTTCTGCACTAGAGCAGTGTCACAGGCAGTGACCTTTATTTTACTTCCTTTATTGGAAAAATTTATGTTTAGAACTGGAATATGTCAATCGAGAAAAGTTCCTTCCTCTTTTGTCTTTGAGTTTAGTGGATCAAATATTGGACTAATGTGTCCGTGATGAAAGAGAATGAAGTTTTGAGAAGAATCAGAAAAGATTGTGCAGTCACTGACTGAGAATTTCTGGTGTTATCTCACACAGGTACTTTGAATGTGAGCTGGGATTTGGATGAAGGCTAATTTACTGCACCAGCTTTTCCCAGTAATATGCCTGTAGACCTGTGTTTGATTGCCCTAATCTCATCTGAATCAGTAGTGCCCCTGCTTTTGTCAGTGACAGTAAAGACCCCACTTTAACAAGACTCTTCTGATAAAACAATCATTCTGGCCATAAGATCATGCAAGTACAATAACTTATCAATTTACCCAGAAAATCAGCCCAGGTGCAAAGACAATCAGAATAATTTTGTGCTTTTAAGTGGTGATAGCATATTGTGGTTTGTATTTCACTTCCTATTTTGGAAAATGGGTGCAATTTTCCCTACTGTAATTATTGACAACCTTTAGAAAAGTTGATCCTGCAGCTTGTGATCCTGATATGGGCAGCTAAGGGAGCTGCTGGCAGCCACCACTGCTTTACCAGCTGTCCACCAAACACAAACCTGGGTAGATCAGGTCTAGAATAAATAAGCTTGTATCCTCCTCCTTTGGCTTAGTTTTTACCTTGGCTCAAGCCTCGTGCTCTCTGCTAGCCTGGTGATCTGTAGGGTGCAATCAAGGACTAGAGCTTATTGGAGGCGAGAGCATAAGTCCAGAGATGTTTCCAGGCTGTCACGTAATGCCTGTGTCCTTCACGAGCTACCACAGCTCTAAATCCATTTGCATTCTTGTCCCTTACTGGCTGTCACTTCCCTGACAATTCAACCATTTTATGAGTTTTTTTGTGAGACAAGAAAGTCTTTTGTCTACAGTGCATTTTACACCTGAAGCTTCTTACATAATACTTCAAATGTCAAGAAGAGTATTAGTTGCACTGGAGTGCTAGACCTTAAAACTGTTTTTCAACTGCAATCTTGACAGGTTGAAAGTTTATTAAAGCAAGTTTGTATATGACAAAAACTTAATTTAAGTTATGCACTGCCTAATGTTTTTCTCCACTGATGCCTCTCAAATGCCACCTTCTTGTTTATTGCCTCTCTCAAAAAAAGGAGAGTTGTTAACCTGGATTAGCAGTTAAAATGCTGGACTAGCATAGCTGAGAGTTCTAATGAATAATTTTAAATCTGCACACAGTGCCTGAGGAAAATTTGTTTCACTGCTTTGGAGGTGAACAGTGAAGATTATCCCTCTGCCCTGTTCTGGTACAGGGAAACTGGGGAAGATCCCAGGATCAGAGAATCTTAGCCTTTCCTAGCCAGGAGAGCCAGGAAGCAAAGCTTTGGCTCTGAATCCAACCCAGACAGTGACTTCGTGAGAATATAGGCCCAAAATATATTGTTAAGACGTAATATATGGAAAGGCATAATCAAACCAAGTTTCTTGGAGAACTGGAGGAAATGCATTAATGTAAAATATTACTGTAAACATGCTTCATAACAGTTCTCTGTGTGCAAAACAACTGAGGTAAATGAAAGGTCTTGATCAGTTACTGCACTCGTGTTACAGTGGCAGTAATTACCTAAATAAATTTTATTTGTAGCAGAAAGTGTAAGAGAGAAAGTCCTCCAGATATTTCTGTTTCAACCCATTAGACCTTAAAAGTGTTTCCAAATGAAGATAAATCTTGCACATTTTTAAAATAAACTTAAAAAACTAAATATTTACATTTTGAAGAAATTAAGATGTTTATGCAAACTTTTGGAATAAGGGTATTTAAAAGAAAAAACATAACCTGACAAGAAGGGTATTATTCCTTATTCGTAATTCTATGGTTTTAGAGGTTGAAATAATTTATTTAAAATGAGAGCTACACTAGCTAATAATTATTCAAATACACAATAAGATTAATTTTTGCAAGATACTGTGTTGGTACTGCTCAAATTAAATATTCCATCAGATAAAATGCAGTGAAAAAGAATACCTTGTAAATATATGAGAATATATATCTTAATAAAATAATCTTTTAGAATAAATTATTCGTAAACAGAAAAAAATAATACAAGTATTACTCTGTAAGTCATGCTTCAAAGTGAAGTAATTTAAAGGACTCCTGTGAACTTCTCAAGAGAGTGGTAGTTTTGCCAAAATGTTGTTCTTTCAGCTATACTCATTTTTTTAGTTGAGCATGCCCATCGTTTAAGTACTAATTTATGAAAAAATTATTATACCACTGAATACGAAAAAGTGTACATGACTACAGAATGTCATTATTACTCTACTTTCGCTTTTTACTTCAGTGCTATAACATCTCACTGACTCTGTTTTGTTAATGACTCTACCCAGGGGTGTTGAGTGTTGTGTTAAAGCTTTCAATTTAGAAACTGTACTGGCAGACAGAGGAAGCAAGCACTTCTGTGTCAACCAGATGATCTACGCCACATAGTTTTCAGTACTATAAAGTAGCCAAGTATTTTCTTGGCACAATAAGAAACATTCATTTGAACAATAGCTTGTTGAGAGCTTGGAGGAATGAGGAATGCTTATTTTCATCTACACCAAGGATATGATGCGGAAATATATTCCTTTTCATGTATTTAGCAGGAACATGTAATACTCTGTGTACCCAAGGGAGGAAACAAATGAAATAAAAGTGATGCTCTGGGATGATATAGCAGTGAGGCACATCATGAGAGGTCAATTCTCTTCCTGGCTATGATAGTATTAGTCTGGAAGGGGTCTTGAAATCAAAACTGAGATGCAATCTGACTGTGCACATGGTGTAGCTGGCATGCAAGTTAATGTAGGCCCTTGTCAATTTATATAATGCTGAAGCTTTCTCGTTTGGGCCTGGGAGGAGTGTTTTGCAATGACAGCTCCCATGATATTACCTACTTTCACAAACTCCTAATTTAATAGCCATCATATCCATTTTGTGCAGTGTCAAGTAGGTGCAAGGAACTGGTCCATTATTTTCTGTCTTAAATTTAAACTGCACAGTCCTGAGAGCAAAATTTGGGAAAGTGAAGTGCACTAACTGCTAGGCTGTGGACCTGATCACTGTTTTTTTAATTTCATTTTTTATCAAATAATCATAGGGCAGAGAAAAAGGCTTTCTTGCCTTTTATACCGGTCCCACCTACATTCCTTCTATATATCTTTCAACTGTAGGAAATAGTAACTGGAATGTTAGGATTTATGTACCAGGGAGCAACCAGGACTGGCAGGATGTGGAAATATCACATCAAAGTAGATGAAGAGCTGTAGGAATTTTGTGTGCTGGTGGCACTGTTCTTGTTCTTAGGACATCCAGTGCATCAGACAGGATAATGGGTAATTCCTAACAATTCATCCATGTGGGATACAATGGCAGATTAAAAGTGCTGCGGACTCCACAGTGGTGTAAACCACACCCAAGTCCCACACACTATTAGTCTCTGAAGGAATCCCTAACCAGAACTGGAAAACCGGTCTCC